GGGGTCACTGACCTCGGCCGCGCGGCCTTGACGGGGTCATTGACCTCGGCCGCGCGGCCTTGGCGGGGTCACTGACCTCGGCCGCGCGGCCTTGGCGGGGTCACTGACCTCGGCCGCGCGGCCTTGACGGGGTCACTGAACTCGGCCGCGCGACCTTGGGGGGGGAGGGGAATCATTGACCTCGGCCGCGTGTACGTGTACTAGCTGTCATCGCGGTGACATGTTGTGTCTACTGACAGAATATGTTAAAATAAAAATAATAGCGTGCGCGTAGCGCGCGTCTGTGATGTACTAGTATATAAAAAAAGAGATAAAAATGTTGCAGTACGCGTAGCAGCAAAATAACATAAAGAACGAAATGTTAAAAAGTACATTTTTTTTTTAGATCGCAGAAATGATGACGCCATCAGAAAGCGAACAGCTTGAGAAAGCACAAAATGCGATAAAGAAATTGGCAGCCACAGAATTGCAAATAGATGAAACCTTGTTTTTGTTAACTTTATATTTTCGATATCACTAATTTAACTCTTGTAATCGTTCTGTTTTTTTTATAAAGATACACGTTTAATAAAAGTAAAAAAATAAAACTCTTGTATTTTTATTCATTTATATATAGTTTATATTTATTTATGTATAATAATGATTATACGCTTGTAAAATACAAACAACAAAGAGTACCTAGCTTTCAAATTATTATAATAAATATAATCATATATTTATATGTTTATATATATATACATATATATATATATATATATATTATGTATATATATATGTATATATATATATATATATGTATAGTGCTGCTCTCTCTCTCTCTATTGTGATACAGTGCATTTGATGTCTATCTATAAGGAAAAGTCATCTCTCGGGATGTTTTTTACATAAATGACTAATTGCTATTTTATCAACAATTTTATTCATATTTTAAATATCATGGTTTAAATAATACGTGACATCTCGAATATATACTTTTCCTTTCTAAGAAACATACAAAACCTGTAGAAGAATCATTCATGTGATGTACAGCCCAACTTACGCTCTTACGATCTAAGTTTTTTTTTTTTTTCACAGTTTTTAAATCTGTAAATTATATTTCATTAAAAAAAGTATATGATTCAGTTCGCGACAGTTTTTTTAAATTTGTAAATTATATCTTAAATGAGTTAATTAAGTGTCAGTGCCACTCTGCTCGAGTTTTTGTGTGACTCGATTCTTTCGTAAATAATATATATTCAGCAAAATAAACAATTCTCAGTCGGGATAATGACGAAAGATGACTTTTTCTTTCCTGCTACTGTATAATTTATACGCTCATCTTAACACTGCCACGACAAAAGAAGTTTTTTGTTACGAATATCAATAAATAAAATTTAAAGTAATGTTCTTTTTCCTTTTTCTCAATTTAGCGATTCACTCTCTTACTCATCCCTTCTTATAATACATACTTTTGATTTCCTGCTATTGATATACATCGACAATATATTTCTTACGATCACGAAACTCTTCTAGTAGTGTTAAGATGATCGTGACAATTTTTTGTTCCATTCGCACTTTTTGTAACTCTCTACGTACTATCTTTCTTTCTCTCACGTTTGCACATGCTTTCTCTCTCTTTTTTCTCACACACGCGTGCTCATTCACTTTATCTCTCTCTCTCTCTTTCCCTCATATATTCGCGCTGATATTACGTTAACTATATACATTTCCCATACATACAAGTTTTTATCTAGAAATAGTATCGCATATACCTAAACCTAAAATTGAGTTTCGGTAAAGCGTTATTTTATTATACTTTTTTTTTTCTTATATCATTATAACAACAACGTACATGTAAATGAAGTGAATGCTTGGAATATTGAGAGCGGATGTTAGTGTGTACGTGTGTACGTGTGTAATGTGCGTGTCTGTGGTATGTATTTTCACTTTTCTTTTTTACGTTAAATATGCTATGATATATTTTAGTAGTGTAATTCGATTTATACAATTTACTATTCTTACAGTTTGCATTCGCATTGGTTGCATGTAAAGGCCAGTAAATATAATAATTGTGTATGCGCTGAGAAATTTTTTTTTTTTTTTTTTATTAATCGTGTGTAACGTTTGTGTGACATCTGAAAGTAAGGGGATTGCCGCGCGCTAAAGATCATCGCTAAATTTCAAGCAATCAAACGGACGAAAAATCGATCGAGTTGATGGAATGCAGAACTATTTTGTATTTAAATTAAACATACCGTAAGTAATGAAACACGGATCTCAAAAAAAAAAAAAAAAAAACAAAATAAATAAATAAAAAGAAAGAAAAAAAGAAGAAGAAAAAAAGAAAAAATTAATGAACGCGGGTCGAACTCTTTTTATTGCACGTGTTAGTTTGTATTATTATATCAAATAGTTCGATCACATAAAATTTTGCAAACATGAAAACAATTGCATTAATTTTCGATGTTTTTATACGCGATAACGAAGATATGGCACAATCGAAAGAAAATGCAAGATAGGCAGATCTTTCACCCAAAAAAATATTCAATCTTTTTATTTTAAATAAAAAAACTTGCTCTATCATTTGTTTTTTTTTTATTTTTTTTTTTTTTATTTTTTACTTTGCTTGTGAAAGCCCAACTGGCGATAAAAGGTTGATTTACGAAACACTTTAAAAAAACAAAACTCTTCATGAAAGTTACGAATACAGTTTCACATGTGATGACTTTGTAAAGATTACATTTTCTCGGAAAGTTGCAATATTCTGCAGTTATATATAACATACGTTTGACCAACCAAAACTTTTTATATTACAAAGATTGAAATATACAAATATTAGAATTTTTGACTTTGAGTATTTCAAACATAAATCAACGAACTTTGCTTATCTCGTTCTTGTCAAAACTGGCACGTACAACCTTTTTCGCTACTAGTAAAAGTAATAAGAGGGGGGCTCACCATTTGAATAATGGTCCTAGATAAACAACGACGATATTAATAACTGTAATATTCATATATAATAATGATAATAATAATAATAATAATAATAATTAATAATTAATAATAATAATAATAATAATAATGGTGTCAATAATAATCGTAATAATAAAGACAATAATGACAATGAAAATAAAAATACGCGTATCGCCTTTAAACATTGTCAATCTACATTCTTCGAATAATTACACATATAATTGTAGCTACGTAGATACATCACAATATAGTTACACTGTACATTAATAATATTGACGTTCGTGCCGGATGAAGCGCGTGACCGATGATTCATCCTTCCCCGACACATTGTACAAATCCATTATATACATAAAATAAATTATTATCAACATTAAGCTATTCTATAATCTGACGCCGATCGAGCCCCAACGAAACGGGTGCAGATACATATCGAGGAGATATACTGGCTCTCTTTCTATAAAATATTAGGTACCATGTATATATGTATATATATATTGTATATATACATACACATATACATATACATATACATATACATATATATAGATAGATATATATATATATATATATATACATGTACATGTATAATTGCACTGATCATAAATAACAAGAAAAGGAGAAAAAATGTGAAAAAAAAAGAGAAAAGGAGTCGCAAGAATTCGTTTCACGTTGTGTCAACGTTGCGACTCGGAACTAGAGGTTTTTTTTTTTTTTTTTTTTTTTTTTTTTTTGATTAACCCCCGCCCGCGAAAACTCTATTTGGCACATAAGTATTATCACATCGAGCTCTAAATCATCACCTTTCCTCCTTGTTCGATCGTCCTACAAACCGTCTTGTCTATATTACTACGTTACAACCGTGCGATGCTTTTTTTTTTTTTTTTTTTCTCGCATCGACTTTGCATGAGGCCGTAATCATCCCCGTCAATCCCATTCGCTTTAAATTAACCAATCACACCTTCTTTTTATATTGGTAAAACGTTACTTCGACAGAGTAAACAGAAACATAATGTAACGCAAATGTGTGTTTTTTTCTTTTTACGTCGCATCTCGAACAAATGCGACGACGACGTGTCGCGCGTGACGATTAGATCGTTCGATACGCGCGCCGACGCTCTTTCGACAAATATAACGCTAATTTTCTTTCCGTGAACGTTCTTTCCGTAACGTTGTACTAATTATATTCGACGATTCGCTAATTTTTCACGTTTCTTACATTCGTACATTTTCCTCTCGCCCCATTCCGCGCGTCTCGCTACTCAGTCGACCCATTACCCGCTTCGGCTACTTGCCGCGTATTGTTTTTTTTTTCTTTCTTTCTTTTTACATTACGGACAATAAATTAACGATGAAAATACTATAAGTACTAAGTATTTTTATTACGTTAAACGAAACTGTCACGCACTGGTGATCAATCGCGCGAGCGATTATCTCTCTTATGTGTTTTTTTTTCTCTCACTCGGTTTCGGACCTTTTCTTTCGACGTGTCGAATGTGGGTCGATTTTTATTAAAAAAAAAAAATTTTCTTTCAATGTGTATGTGTACGGGGGGGTACATATACATTAAGAAAAAACTTGACTGGCGGTCGCGAGATAAGATTGCTGACACACGCGCGTGTTCGGACTCGCGATTATTACAGAAGATGCTGCAACGTGGACCAAAGTTTTGTTTATTAATTTTGTGTGTGTGTGTGTGTTCTTTTCTTTTTTTTTTTTTTTTGTATACTTCTCTGTTTCTCCGTCTGTCACAACACACAACCGACCGGAATGGCGTAATCTATATACACGTACACACTTGGAAAGAATTAGGAACAAGATTTTTTTGTTTTGACAATGTCGCAACGCGCGTATCGCTTTATCCAACTCGATAAAAAAGTGCTCGGCACAATTTGCGCGCCGAGCCGACACACGCGCATTGTCTTGTTAAAAATTTATGCGAATAAACACGTATTACGCGTCGTCTCTCTCATCATCTTGCCCGACGTACGTCGATCAAAAGTTGCAGCGTTTGGGTTTTTTGGCCGCTGATTCCGCACCGGTTGTCTCTCCACGTGTATTAAACTATTGACACGATTCGGTGGATGTGAGTTTTCTTTTTTTTTGTTTTGTTTTTTCAAATGATTTATATAGTATTTTTGATTACGATGAAGAAAACGCGAGAAGAAGTTCGACTTCGCCGACGCGCGCGCAAGAGACGCGCCACCCTCCTCTCTGGTGTAACCGCGTGAGTGTTTGCGAAAACGAAATGTCCGAGAGATTAGAACCGTCTATACACGGGTCTTTACGACCTCTTTGAGGCGTCGTTTCGTGTTGTTTTCAGTTTAGACTGCGGGTAGTTTAGAATGCGTACGGGTGAAGTATTTCGTTTGAGAAATGCCACAGCGCGCGCGCGGAAAAACGAAAACAACGAGTTTAACACAAGGCGAGTTTTCGCGGCCGTCGACTATTGCGCGTGCGAAGCGAATAAACACATTCGAGTCTCGATACGAACTGTATCTCGAAATAGCGGTACATCGCGAAGCGATAGGGAAAGAGGCGCGAACGCGAAAATCAAAATGCGAAATATCGGGGGGCGCGAATATATAAGACGCTTAACTTTTTCAATAATAAAATAGTCTAATAATTTGTAACAATGTTCGTTTCGAAATATTTAACGTGCGTGTGTGTGTGTGTGTGTTTGGACGAGTCGCCAGATAGATTTTGGACGCTGCATCGAAGCGTGAACAATTCCACGAGATGAGAAATGACATTTTTTATTGATACTTGCAGGCAGGAGTCGCGTACGGAGACTTTTCTTCTAAATCGGAGAAGGGGGTGAACTATACTCGGGGCCGCGTTTCTCGGTTTTTTTTTTTCATTTTTCATCAAAGCGCCCGCATATATGTAATACTAAAACACATTCGTCAACGTTCCTTCGCGGTATAGATGAATAAGAACGACCGACAATCAAGCGACATCACAACGGCGATATTGAAGAGCGGAGACAAGCACCGCATTTTTTTTCCGCTTCGCAGAATAGGTCTTTTACGTTTCGTGTACGATGGCACAGAGATAAAACGTTTTTTTTTTTTTTTTTTTTTTAAATCACAACCTCGGATGAGGTTTCGAGACGCTCGATTCCTCTCTTCCTCGTAATCTTCCTTCTGGCTCTCGCTTCGCTGCGTGAAGAAATGTCGAGTCAAAATTCGCGTCCTTGTGTGCGTGTTTGCGGCTTACTCGAGACGCTACTCGAGCGGGCTGTGTCATACCGCGACAGACGAAACTCATTCCGATTACCAGAAGAGCTCGTGAGTAAGTCTTGACGTGGACGCCGCTGCCGCGGCCGCCGCGGCCGCCGCCGCGGCTGCAGCCGCCGACGATGATGACGACGATGAGGACGATGACGCTCCGGGTGGCCAAAGGCATGGCTGACCCGGAGCCGCGGTTCAATCCTCGTCGTGATGCCGCGGACTCGCGTCGTATCCACCGATCGAGCCGGAATTCTCGGGCGAGAAGTTCATCATGTCCGTGGGCGAGAGACTGTCCTGCGGATAATAGAACGACGGATGGTCCGAGCTCGGGCCGGCGGTGCCACCGCCGCCGCTGCCGCCGTTCAACATCGTCGCCGGCGGCGAGACCGACGGACGCGCCGACGGGCCAGCACCCGTACTCGAATGATGCTGCGTGCCGGTGAGATCGGCCCCGACTGGCGACAGAAAGTTCATCTCGGTGCCGCCGTCCCGGCACCACAGCTGCCGCATCTCTTGTCGCCGCTGTCGCATCAGCGATTTGTATTCGGAGATGCGCATCTTCTTGCCGTCCACGATACACGTGCGTTTCGGTCGCGGTCGGTACCTATAGTCCGGATGTTTCTCCATGTGCAGTTTCGACAGCCGCGATTGTTCCTCGTAGTACGGTTGTTTCTCCGAGTTCGACATCGCCTTCCACCGGGCGCCTGTAAAACAAAAAAAAAAAGAAAAAAAATACACCGCGCGTTCAAAAGCATGTAATTAAATATTCTACGGTAAAAAAAAAAAAATCTTTGAATGTATATACGTTATAGATATCAAAGTTTCATATTTTTATTTTATTTTGTTTTAGAGCGTATAAATCTACGAGAGAATTTACGCACATGTATTTAATAATTGCAAACTTGATCAAGTTGAACTGATTAAAATTAGAACAATATTGCAATCAATTGAAGAATATAACCATAAATATCAGAATTTATTATGTATTAACGGTGTTTTTCCTTACCGAGAATTTTCGATATGTTGGAATTGTGCATATCCGGACAGGCTTTCAAGATCTTCCTGCGCTCATCTTTGGCCCAAACCATGAACGCGTTCATAGGTCGTTTGATATGTGGCTTGTTCTCACCCTCCCGTTTCTGCTGCCTCACCATTTTAGCTGAGGAGAGAAAGAGAGAGAAACAGGGGCGTTAGATGTCACGTCGTCGTCGTGATTCACGATACTCTCGTGAGAAACGAATCTGATTTCGCGAGGGCGTTTCGTTTGGCACTCTCAAAACAAGAGTGTAATATTAGCCTAATCGTTACACTCATAGAAGACTGCTTACCTTTTTCCGTTATGTCTTCCGCTACTTTATACGCCGGATCTCGCCACACTGCAATTTCAAAATCGAATTACATGTATCAAAAGCGTGCGAACAAGAATGAAAGAACTTGGTGATTGTCGCGAATATTTATTATTATTATTATTTTTTATATAGTAAATATATTCATATTTTATTCCATATTTGTATAACATCGCTTGTTTTTTTTTTTTTTTTTTACAAATCTTTTATACAAAAAAATCAAAATGCACAATTGTAATTAATTAATGCCAAGTCCGCGAGATTTGATCGATACCGAGATTTCGATATATCTACTCACTGTGAGGCGTCGAGAGAAAGTCTTGCTCTTCCTGTGGCGTTTCTTCCCGAGAGCTCGAATGTTTGATCGGCCTTTGAGTTTGGGCCGACGGTGGCATCGCACCCGCGCTCGGCGGCAAGTAGAGCCCGTGCATCGCAAAGTGCTTTTCCACGGCGGCGACCGCAGCGGCCGCCGCGGATCCGCCCGGTCCACCGGCCTCGTCCTTGGACATTACCTTGCCCACTGTAACGGGATAAATTGAAGAAATGTATGTTATGTTGTACGCGCGCGATGAAGAATAATCAAATCGAGAGTAGAAAATGATTTCGAGATATTTCGATCGGTGAAAGACACGTGTTGAATTCTTCGCGTCCAATTCAAACTCGATCGCAACATTTTTTGGCAAACATTTTTCATTTCACGTAGCTGGTTTTGTTTTCGAAGAGTTTGAAAATTCAACATTTTGCAATAAATTTGTAAATAAGAACATGTTTTTTTTTTTTTCATAAAATTAAAGAGAGATTGGATTTTCCTTGCCGCTAAATTATTAACAGACATTATATCGTCGTCGAATAAAGTGACAAAATAAAGTAACGCGTCGCGATGCACGACTTTTGCGAGACGACTCGTTCTAACGTTACAATGACGTTACAGCTGGGAAATCTCGCGGTTTTTCTCTTGGCGAATCTCATTACGCAGCCCTTATCGGGCGGAATCGCGTTACGCGTCGTTGATTATGGGCACGAGAGCTATATATTGCGCCGGTCCAGGCAAAAACCAGATACGAGCCAGAAACAGGTTCTTTCTCTTGCGGGATGAGCGTTCGAATGGAAAAAAAAACAAAAAAAAAAAGATAAGCCGCGCGAGCAATCGCGGAAAACTAATTCCGCTCGAGGATGATTTGAAGTGTTCATCATCGGCATAAAGTCGCGCCGCGCGCGCCACTTAATCGCGCGTCTTTCTTTTCAAAAGCCATTTACCGCAATTGCCAATTTGCATTTGTTCTATGAAAAAAAAAAAAAAAAAACGAATGTATCGCGCACAACCAGTTCTGTTCCATTAACGACGATTTTACCACCACTCGAATCGTGTTGCAAAAAGTGCACATTACTTTAATCACGCGGTTCACAATTCGAATTATGATCAACGGAATCGAACCGATTGACGCACAGTGCAAGTTTTCCGAGAAAATTTTCTACAAAAAAAAAAAAAAAAAAACATACGCAATCGTCACGCGAACACAATGAGATCGTATTCAAGATAATTGCTTCGTCGTTTTGATATTTCTAATTCACTCAAACGATAGAGAAGCGACGTTTGACTTCCGTTCTTATTTCTTTCTTTTTTTTCTTTTCTTTTTTTTTTTATCGCTAAAAACATCGCAAAATGTTGTTTCACTCACTCGGAGAAGATAGGGTACTGAGATGCGGCGGCAAGCCCGCGTAAGGAAGCGTCGGCAGATAATTCCGCGGTATCGGCAGTCCTGGCGGGAAAAGCTTGGGCGCGGTCGCCGCGAGCGGTTGCTCCTGCTGACCGCTACTTCCGGCGCCGGTCGAGTGAGAATCGCTACCGGGCGACGAGGATGACGCTGTTGCACCCGAGGACGTCGACTTCGGCTTGGTTAGGTTCAACGGCGCGTCGAGATCCTGAAGCGGCGGGGCCGTCGGGGCTACGGCGGAGGAGATCGGTGCCGGTGACGACGATTCCTTCTCCATTTGCGTGGTCATCTGCGCGAGATGCGCGGTCGCCCAGCTCGGGCCTTCCCGATGACTGCTGATCATCTGCGAACGAGAGAAGGTAGTCTCTCTAAAAATATCTTCTTTTACGTCTCCTTCGACGATTACCGATCGATTAATAATAAGATTAATAATAAGATACTATGTAACTAATTTAACTTTCATGTAATAATAGAAAAAAATGTTTTTTTTTTTTTTTATTTAAGTGAACACCGACGTTTGGCGCTTTCCGAGTCTTTTTCCTACGAATAGTTCGAATTTTTTCCGACCGATTAAATAACAGAACAGATCGCGAAAGTGATCGAGTGTGTCGCGAGAAAATGCGGTATTTGATTATACAATGCAATTGTGAGCGGACACTTGAAAACATATGTGGGCGCGCGCGAGCAAGCACCAATATCGCTACAACAACACGATAAATCCGATCGACGTACATTGGCGATGGAGTTGATGTGCTTGTTGCCGGTTGTGGCGGTCGACGTGGCCGGTGGCGGCGGCATGGACGATTGTACGGGCAACCCTCTGAGCTGCTCGAGAAACGGCAGGAACATAAACGACTGCGGCCCCGACATGCTCAGCTGGCTCTTTGTCATCTGAGCCTGCAACTCCTGGATGTTGTGCTGCATGATGTGCTCTTGCTGCCGCTTCAAGTGCTCCGTTTGCAGCCGCTGCATCTCGATTTGCTTCTGCGAGTCGACCGTCATGTGAGCGGGATACGACTGTAAAGGCACACGGACCACTAATTAAAGGGACGCTCTGCGCTCCGCTCTGCACCGACGGTTCTACATACCGAGAGATGAGAGAGAGAGAGAGAGAAAAAGAAGAGATTCGCACACAAAGACGATGGCGGCGAGATCATGACGTTCGCTATCGCGGGGGTGAAACAAACTGTTCGTTGGAACAACTCCGTTCGCACGGATAAATTATATCGGACGTGTTGCCGGGACAATGTAAGAGTCGAGTCAAATTGCGCGATGCGATTGCCACTTTGTGCCGCTAACGACTCGTATACGACCCGAACGTCGTAAAGACCGTTTCATATATGCCTTTCATACGCGTACGTTTCATATATTTCAGACGCGGATTGCAGTTTTGTTGTTCCGAGCGCGGAATTCTCTTTTTTTCTCGAGCTTCGTTCGTGCGATGCGCTTCAATATGACATTACAATGAATAAAAGAGATATTGCACCGTCAGAGATACTCGTCCTCGTTACTTTAATAACCTGGACGCAAGTTTCGCAGGCGCATCGCGCGAAGAACTTTTATTGTTCGTTCGCACGTTATGTTTAAAAAAACAAAAAAAAAAAAAGAATTTCAGCCGTGGTGCAGAAGCGGGTTTTTTTTTTTTCTAGCGAATTAAATAAAGTAATAAGTACGAGTCGGACGAGTTCGTTGCTTCGACCAGATGTACAAACGGCGACGATCTTTTGCTGACATTTGTGCAAGTTTGTATAAATAAGTTACATATATAGTGTTATATTATTATTTTACTCATATAACTCTTGTATAAACTCCGCGTCTTTTTGCATACAAATAAATATAAAACAGCACATACTTCGGGGTCATATATGAATGCGTATTGATATTACGCGAAACACATTGCGTAGAAGGAACCACTGCTTGACAAATCAGCGGTTAGTGGGATAAAAAAAAAAAAAAATCGAATAGTTGTTTCGCGAGTGAAAAAAAAAAGCTGCTGTCACTTTTTATACTTCACGTGGATAAAATTATTTTGCGTACGAAACGTGTCAATTATAAATGTTTACTGAATAAATATTTTATTTTACTTTTTATTTTATCAACACACACACACATACACACACGTATTTTTACGCTGCGTAATTTTAATATAGGGGAACACAGATTATTTATCAAGGAATTCCGAGTAGAGTGTCAAATTATCAAACTCTTCTCCTCTCTTTGAGTATCAACTTATTACGTAGATATATTTTAACACGATGTTACAACTCTCGGCGTCGCAATAATATCTCGTCGACAAAAGACGGATTATCGCCTCGCAATTAAGAGGTTGAAGAATTCTAATTGCGCGTCTTCTCGTCTGTTATAATATATATATCGCGCTATCAAGCCAAGCTTCCTCTCCTCCAGCCAAGTGCATAGCCAGCGAATTTTCCAATGTGCGCGATATTAATAGCATTAGGACGTGTACGACGGTATAAGTCGGCGGACTCTTGAACGGGCGAGAGCGTTTGATCCAATCTCCTGCCCACAGGAGAAACGCGCAACAATTTACACGACGAATATCATTGTGCTTTACTACTTTTCTACGTCCTGGCTGCGATCCAGATATGTGTGGGGTTTATTTTAGACGATAAGGAAGACGTTTATTCATCCAGCCTGTGCGCACCAGCTGAGAAGTCACGCGCGCGCGCGCGCGCGTGGAAATGCGGAGATGCACGCCCGTGGATGGACGCTGCCGTCCTTCCTCCCCGAGGGAGTCTCCGTGCGCTTATATGTTAATTTCTTCCACATTCGACGAAGAGAAAATTAATTTACGATCGAGAATGTGATCGACGCGACTCCCCGGAATCTTTGACACAGCCGTGGCGCGGAGAGTCTCTCGATGAAAAAAAAACAAGAACGCGCGTCAACTTACATACGTTTGTTATACAATCGTAAAATAATTGTATAATGAACACACGGTTACGCGAGGCAAAAAAAAAAGAACTACGTTCGGTTTTTGTGTGTCACTCAATATGACAACGCATCTGTGCAAAACAGAGTGTTGCACAAGCGTCGATAAGCGGTGACCTTCCGTGTCAATTAGTTATTGCCGGATACTTCTTGTGATCTTCGCGAGTTTGTTAAAAACGATAGCAGAAATTACCGAGCAATGTAATCTAGACCTAGATATCGAAGCGAAATATATAATAATACTACGCGCGAAAAATATATGTGCGAAAAATCGATCGATCTCGTCTTCAACTTTGCGTCCCACATTGCTGCGAACCACCTTTCGCAACTGAGTTAATTAGTTTGCGATGATGATCGAAACACAAAAAAACAGTTTTTTTATTTCTTTTGACAATGTGCCGCGGTCTCTCGGTGGAGAGAACTCGGGGGAGGAAACGATTGTTGTTGCTATTGAAGCTAGCGTTGTATTAAGCTGTGAGCGAAATTAACCGGACAGTTCGTTACGAGTCATTAAGAGTATCGTATGACTACGTTCTTCATTCTGCATTCGTTGACGTTACTATCTTTTACGACGCGTCGGTACGGCAAGAGGACCGACGGCTCAAAGGCTTGCCGAACTGTGCGTTTATGTTCCTGCGCGAAGCGCATACGCGCATGTGCGTTCATTGAGACCACATGTCGCTGTTCGTTTTGGTAACGCCAATGGAATCGGCCACCGGGAGAAGACAATGCCGACGCGACCGGATAACGCCAATTCGGGTAACATCTTCGGTTCGCGGCATCTATAATGGGCGAGCAAAGGCGACACAGCGAAGGAGAAGAGAGGAGGAGAGAAAGGAAGAGAGCGAGAGAGAGAGAGAAAGGAGGAGAAAGCAAAAGAAAGAGAGAGAAAGAGAGAGACAGAGAGAGAGAGAGGGAGAGAGAGAGATAGAGAGAGAGAGAGAGAGAGAGAAAGAGGCGACTGGAACTTCATTATTCATTTGCACAGTTCAGTTATGCCGATGATACGTATCCGTGACAGCTATACCGCCCACAGTGGCTAAATATAAACAGGCGGGGTGCCAGCAAGTTCCATTCACATTCACATCTACACGCGACGCGGCGGTTTAGTAAGTGAGCATAAGAATATAAGGAGCTCCGTTCTGAATATGCATCCGCGCATTGACGCCAACTGCACGGACTAAACTTAGCCTCGCAATTACCGAAACATACCTACCCTCTCGCCCTCCTCGCCCCGCAATAATCATTATTCTGACGTTTATTTTGTAACCCGCGGATCGGTCGATCGGGCGATTTCGAAAATGACGCGAGAGAAAGTGCGTCGCTTTTTTTTTCTCAGACCAGTGTGATAATAATCACGCGCAAGATTTTGTTGAATAATAATAATTCGACAACGACATATTCATCTCACGTTTTTATTATAATATTATAATGCACGTACTTTTTTGCAATTCGCAACATAGAAGCGCGCAATGTAGAAGCAGTTCGGAAAGAAAGTAACAACCCCGTGTTGAAAATTCAAGACGCGTTTTCTTCGGCGTAGGACGCGGATTTCAGTTTTTTTTTTTTTTTTTTTTTTTTTTTTTTTTTTTATCGTACAACGAACAATATTGCGTTGCATCACGACCGAACGCGGATTTTTGTCCGGTTGCGGCGGGCGTTGCCACAAAATGCGAGGCTAAAGGCCACGAAATTCGCTTGTCTAGATTTAGAATCGGAGCCACTGGAGTTGCGAGTGCAAGGGGGACATGCTGGGGTGACGTAGATCCACCGGAAGTGGTTCATACTTCACGTGCGTTATAAAGACTGTCACTGCGCGGATACTGTCTAAAATTACGTCGCGCTGCCAAGAGCGCGCGGCGGCGACGACGACGACGACGACGACGACGACGACGACGACTCCAAAGACGACGTGAACAACCCCGCAACGTAGATCGGATTATGAGCCCTCCCGGATGTCAGACGCAATCTTATCGCTCGATCGCCTTCGTCCGAAATACATAGCTTTATGAATAATCGATTGAACGGAACGCAAGAGAAAGAGAGAGAGAGAGAGGAAGGGACGCGGCGCAAGGAGCCCGATCTTGTGCTTTGCTAGTCCCTTCTCCGCGGCCGAGACAACAAGGAGCCGAGGAATAAAAAAACAAAAGCGCCGCTGCACTCTTTAATGGAATTTTAAAAGAGTCCCGCGAAGAGAGGGAGAAAGAGAATCTCCATCGACACATAAGAGGGTGGTCACTGGATACATAAATGATGGACCGCTTTGAACGGGATTCGCTCTGTACAGAGCTCGCGTCGCAACTCTATAGAGAGGAGAGAGGGAGAGAGAGAGAGAGAGAAAAAGAGAGAGAGAGAAAAGAGGACTCGTATGAATTGCGAGAATCTAGGGCAACCGGAAGCGGTATTTTCGTGGCGCCGCTTTTCGAATGTGACGGAGAAGTATAGATCGTTCGTGTGTGGGGAGGTATAACCCCGATCCCGTCTCTTCGTCTCTCTTTTTCATCGTGAATCTTCATTGTGTCCGCGATCAATTTGCTTTACCCGCGTCCGCTATTTTTTTTTTTTTTTTTTCACGTTAATTGCGCGCTCAACTCAAATCTTTAGAGAAAAAGAAATTTCGCGCGTGCTCCGAAGAAAAATTCTATATCCAATCGTATAATATATCTTGTATGTATTCTCGATGGAATGACGGCACGATTTATGTACCTTTCTCCGGGGACTGCGGGATCAGCAATCAAGAAAACAGGCGCGCGTCTCGCACGCGCGATCGTCAAAAGACAAGAAGAGGTACGGCCTCGCCATCGGGCCTCGCCTCGGAATCCTCATAATCATAGATCAGGCCGGTCCCGTAATTTGGACGCGTGTTCGGTATACAGAGACGCACGGGTGTATTACAGCACCGTATTTTCAGATATCTTTATTGGCCGATGTTTATTATCTATTCGCTGCCTCTAAAATCCTTTTGATATTCCGCATTCGGCGGATAAACAAATCGGTCGATCATCGAGCCCGGTTTCTCGCGCTCTCGCGCACACGAAAGCGCGGCTAATATTAATAATTCCGTT